GATCATAGCTCACGGACATTCAGTTTCAACCCTCGTCATGTCTTTCATGAAGAAAAGAAACAACTATGCTGGCAAGCATCCAACCAAAAGGGAAACCTTGAACACTGCTTGGGAGAATATAAATGGGCAGAGTCATTACATGTGAAAGCCTGGTAACCTGAGTTGGAACTCCAGAGCCCACAGGATACAGAGATAAGCATCTGTATCCAGCATTCCTACAGGAGTTGGGAGATAGAGACAGAATCACCCACTAGCCCAGAGTAGGCAGTGCTGTAGAAACAAGAGAGGTCCTGCTCCTCAACAGAGCAGAGAGAACTGAGTCTTGAAAGTTATCTTCTCATCTCCACATGTCTGCCATAGCAGGCTGGTGCCTGAACTCTCACACATGGAACAAGAATTTAAAACCAACCAACAAACAGAATCACCACCAAAAAGTCCTAGCTATGTCATTTCTAGGAATATACATATTCCTAAAGGAATATTCCTAGCACACAGCAGAGGTACTGTGCACCATGTTTTTCTCCCCCCACCCCCAACGCTATTCACAGCAGCCAAGTTATGGAATCAGTAACAGAAGAACAGATAAAGATACTATGGTATACATAAGTGTGGAACAATAGTCAGCCATTAAAAAGACTGAAAGGAGATTAATTTACAGGAAAATGTATGGGACTGAAGATCATGTTAGGTGAAGCAAGCCAATCTCCAAAAGCCAAATATGTTTTTTTTTCTCATATGCAGAATACAGACTTAAGATTTAATCATTTTAATCATGTGTAGGTGTATGTGTCTGCATGTGGGTATGTGCAAACGAAGACTAGGATCTCCTGAAGCTGGCTGGAGTTACAGGCAGTTGTGAGCCACCTGTTTTGGTGTTGGGAAGGGAACTCGGATCCTCTCCAGCAAATGTTAAGAGCTGAGCCATCTCTACAGTCTCCCCAACTTGCCCCAAATTATGACCTAAAGTGGGGGGGGGTAAAAATTTATGTATTTATTATTTACAACGTGCTGGCATGAATGCGCTCTATAAAACAGAATTCTTAAGTTTTCTGCTTTAGTGAGGTGCCTTGACTAAAGAATCATGCGGAACCTTCGGGATATAGTCCTTTGTTTCCTTCCGAAAAGTAAGGAAGCATTAGGGTAGTGCACACTAATGGGCACTGGAGTTTGTGTCTGCAGACTTCGGAGGCGTCTATTCCCCACTCCAGAGGCTTCTGGAAACCTCTTCCTCACCGATGCACAGAAGGGAGGGTGTGGAATTTCAGACAAGCTCGGCGCAGTAAGAAGCATTCCACAGAAGGCGTGATACCGGTGAAACAGAACCCAGCGACGGACAAGAGGAAGAGGTCCGGTTCCAGGCAGAGCGCACGCGTGCGACCGTCCAATCAACATCCAGGGGCGGGGCTGGGTCGGCGGGCAGGGCTGGGGAGATAGGTGGAGCTGAGCCCACATTCTCCAATGGAGTGGAGGCAGAGGCGGGCCCAATGGCCAAAGGAGCATGGCGTGGAGACAGTTGCGAGTGAGTACTGCCGTGGGGGGTTCACGCTTGGTCGGAGCACAGGATGGGAGGAGACGAGGCGGGAAGCATGGAAGGCTGGGGTCCTTGCAGTGTGTCCTGCACGGGTGCGCAGCTAGGGGCATGCCAAAAGCAAGCGTGTCTGGCAGAGGCTGGTCTGAGCGTGAGCGATCGATGGCATTTTTTTTTTTTTAAACTGAGCTAGTATCGGACCTCTGAGAGCACATGGTCGTCTAGCCTTGTAGAAAGGATCCAAGACAGAATGAAGTAAGACATGCGGCCACCCTTCTAGATATAGTGTGGTCAAAATGGGAGCCCTGTGTGAAGAGTCCTTGGTTGTGTCCCTGGTTTGGGAAAGAGTGCGCAGATAGTGCTGCCTGGGACGTGAGGCATTTCTGCAAACTCCCAGGAGGAGGAAGAATGAATATCCGGTTCGCTGTGGGCGAATCTGAGCACATCTTCTACTTCCTTGTTTAGTGAACAAATCCCATTAAAAAATAAAATTATGTGTAGGGGTGGGGGTGGGAGGGTGAATACAGGTGCCCTGAAACCAGCTGTATTGGAGCCCCTAAAGCTCGAGTCTGACATAGGGGCTGGAGCCGAACTCTGCTCCTCTGGTAGAGCAGCAAGTGCGCTTAGCCACTGAGCTATCTCCATCCCCCAGATCTGTATCCTGGCTGATATCACTTATTTCTCCTACTTCATTGTAAGCAATGCTTTCCTTTTAGTTCCAAACAGATCTCCATTCTCTGGCCCTTCCTTAGCTTCAGTCCCCTAGAGATCCCTTCTCCACCTACTTTCTGCTCTTTAGCTTTTGCGTCTCCTTTGAGAGTCAGCTTTAACTCGCTTCCTCAAGATGCTTCCATTGCTTTCTCCTTCATGTCAGTTTCCTTGGCTCATGATGGTTGATTTGTCTCTTCATTAGGTTACACTTTTCTGAAGGACAGGGAATGGGTCTGGTGTGCTTGCTTTTGAAGGATTGAATGAATGCATTAGCCACTTAGCATCTGGTGGTGCTAATTACCAAAAAGCCTTGCGAACCACTTTTGAGCTGGGGTAGTGATTCTCTACCCAAAGTGTGAAGCTATGTGTATATTGTAGCCACTTTTATATTATATACAAAGGACATTTCAGACAGTAGCCTTCTTAGGTATACTTTTAAAATATAAACACCATGTGCTAATAAAGGCTAAATGAAAACGTGAATTTCTGCATGTAAAAATCAGAACACAATTCGCCTACATAGATGGTCAGATTTTGGGTTTTTTTTTTCCTTTTTGGTTTATTGAGACAGGATTTCTCTGTATCTTTGGAGCCTGTCCTGGAACTAGCTCTTGTAGACAAGACTGGCCTTGAACTCACAGAGATCTGCCTGCCTCTGCCTCTAGTGCTGGGATTAAAGGTGTGTGCCACCACCGCCTGCTGATGATCAGGTGTTTAAGCCTCTATGTAGAAGGGGTCCCCTGGTGCACATACAGCGCAGAGCACCCTTTCTGGTGGACTTTTAGGAACGGGACTGATTCTTTTGTAATGTTTTGTGCACATTGCACAGTTGTCCTTAAATTACAAGGCACCACTGGGCAATGACGGCGCACACCTTTAATCCCAGCACTCAGGAGGCAGAGGTAGGTGGATCTCTGTGAGTTCGAGGCCAGCCTGGTCTACAGAGCTAGTTCCAGGACAGCCAGAACTGTTACAGGAAACCCTGTCTTGAAAAAACAAAAACAAAAACAACAAAAAAAGGTACTTACATTTCTGGCAAAGTTACCGTATATATGTGAAATGTGGGGAGTAGATGTTTGTGTGGTGAACTACAGCTTGTTCTTTGGCTCAGATAATAGGAAGCTTTTTAAAAAACCTACCTAAATAGCAATAACAAGTTCAAACGTAGGGAAATTAGTGTGTTAACTTTAATCAAAGAATATTGACAGGACTGATTTCTCCACACCAAATCTGTTAGCATTGTTCCCTCATTAACTAGTAAAAATTCTTCCATGTGGCCCCTAGGGGGCAGGACTGCCTGTCTTAAATTCCCTGGCTGGTTTTTAAGGGAAAAAAAAAAAGGTATTCAGGACTAGAATCTGTGTAAGCAGTGTAGACACTGCGTCTACAAAGGCTGGTGTGTGAGTGGGCAGGATATGAAGGGGGCAGAGTGGGCAGGGAAGGACTGTCACTTCATGTAGATGTTATGTCCTCAGAGTAAGGAAGGGTGCTGCAGCCTGACCTGATGAGGGTCCCCACGGAGCCTTTTCTTTTCCCCCACTAGAAGCGGGCCCTGGATGCGGCCATCATCCTTGGGGGCGGAGGATTTCTCTTCACCTCTTACCTGACAGCCACGGGCGATGACCATTTCTATGCTGAATACCTCATGCCGGCCCTGCAGAGGCTGCTAGACCCAGAGTCAGCCCACCGCCTTGCTGTTCGCTTCATGTCCCTGGGACTCCTTCCTCGAGCTACATTTCAGGACTCTGACATGCTGGTAGGTGTTCCTGGGTCACGCTGTTTTACATTTAGGTATGTGGGAGAGGTCACATCCTTCAGCGCTTCTGTCCCCTCTGCTGCGACTGCGCTTCTGAAAACCAGAGCTGCAGGTCCACAGGCAGCTGGGACCTGGAGCCCAGGCTGAGGAAGCATCTCCCATCCCGTGTTACACCCTGAACTTACGGAAGAGCACTCACCACGTAGCCTACGCTCACAGCTTTCATCCTCACCACTGGTGTTTGAGGTCGGTCCTATCTCATCTCCATCTGCAGAGCAGGAAACTGAGGTACAGACTAAGTGGCTTGCCCAAGGTCATGCAGCTGGGAGGTGGCAGGACCAGGATTCGAACCCATGGAGTCTAACTCCAGTGTCCAACCTTGGCCACAGGCCTGCCTTGCTGAAATTCCTCTGCTGAGCAGGGACATCTTCTGTAGTCGTTAAACAGCTAATGCATGCAGTGTTAGCTGGGAAGGGTTGTCTCTTTTAGGTACTGTGTCCTCTGTCTGGGTAGGTGTGAAGGGTCAGGAGGATACTGCAGTCCAGCCCGACGGGTCCTTTCTTCCCTCCCACCCCCCAAGCAGGCCCTAGGTGTAGTCATCATCCTGAGGGGGTGGAGGACTTAAGTCCTAGGCAGCCACCTGCCCCAGTCACATCCAGTCACAACTCACTTCTCTGGCCCACCTGGCATCGTTTAGGACAGAGCCAGTGTGGCCCTTCGCTGTCTTTCTGAAAGCTGCCTTTTCTTTCTCTTTCTTTCTTTCTTTCTTTCTTTCTTTCTTTCTTTCTTTCTTTCTTTCTTTC